TGCCCAACTCTCCAGCCTGTCCAGATCTCTTCATTTATAAGTATCTGCTTCAGATTTGTTAATTTAACCCAATTGAGCAGACTTACAGATGCTAGGTTTGTGAAGGAAAAGGACTAACATAAAGGAAACCCAAGTTCTGTACAGTCTTCCCTTCATCTGCATGTCACATGTCTTAGCCTCTCCATAAGGAGTAATTATATACTTCCCCCTATTCTTTCTAATCCATTTATGTCTCTGGACAGAGTAAAGTGCCAATTCTCTTATTTTCCAAAAGCTGAACACTGACTTCATATCTTAAGAATCTTGACTGTTGATAGTTAATACAGTGATTTTAGCTGTTACAGCATCTAAAGTTTCTCAAGATATGTGTTGGTAGATTAGGCTTCATGCTAAGATTGCAACTTTTTAAAGTCAGAGATAAACTGGGATTACCAGCAATAGTAATTCAGGGAAGATGGTAATTGCACTGTGATGATTGGATATTAAGAAAATGTAAGGTGGTTTGTTTGGTCTGTGTGCTATGCCAGGTCCTAATAGCTAAAGTTTAACTGTTTCAGTATTTAATGCAACCACAAATACAAACCAATTAGGAAGATACTGTTTCAAAAATACAAATGAGGTTCGAAGAATTTGTGTGTGTGTTTATTTGGGTTTTTTTGTTAGGAAAGCGAAGTGTTACTAGAGTGATGTGTTTTGCCCTATAAAAAATAGGGGCACCTCTTCTAGTCCAAGCAACTGATTGCAGCAAAGCCCTAAAAACATTGTTAGCTATTTCACACACTCCTTACTGGAAACTCAGTTCTGTTTGACTATTATAATTACTTAAACTTGAGGCTTCCAACGACACTTCAGTTCTTTCCATCAACTTTGTGCACATAGTACAGTTACATTCAGTGCATATTTTTCCTTGCCTGTAGAAGGTAACTGGCTATAATGCATTGGCATGCTAATGGCAAGATGTTTTTTTCAAACATGTTAGAAGCAGAAGCATGAAAGCACATCTGTAGTGCTGATAGATGCTCAAGATATAAAAGGAATGCTCAAAGATAATAAAGCCATGGGAGATGGCCATGGTTTAATGAATTCTTAGTATCCCTATTTTCTTTTTGACAGAGCTGATGGAGTTAGTCACACCAGAACCTCTTTTCACAGAAGCTGTATCTGAGAAATATCTCAAATTCAAGTGTTGTAGAAAAGAGTTCAAAACAAGTGAGCAGTAATAAATTGCCAAAATAAGGGGATGTTCTGCATTAAGTTCTATAAGAGGCTTAATGTAGACACTATTTAATTCCCAATTACTTTTTTCCTCTTCTTGAAATGTTAAAGTATCAGATTTAAAGCAAAAATGTTGTTCAGAAAAATCTGTAATTTACATTGTGGAATTTCATTGCTAACACCTGTTCTAGATAATAAAAGTGTAAATGTTGGACAGTAACAAGGCTTGTTGTAAAAAAAAAAAAAGGACCCATCAACTTAATGATACAGTTTTAACCTCTGAATCGAGAGTTTGCTATTCTGCAGTCTGCTGGAGCATGTACAGGAGAAATTACTTATCTTTGTTTGCTGTGTTCTTTTACTCTTTCTCTTCGTGTTCACTATTGCAAAAAACAGATTCTGGGACAAATTGCTTTTAGACTCAATGAAGGTGACTTTTATTATTTTGTTTTAGTGTACTTATTGCTCCTTGAGATAGTGTGTTTCCTTAAAAAAGTGTCTTAGTGTCCCTTGATATTTTGCATAAATAGTTTGTAAGTGACTTTCTGGCACTCTTTGGTATAGGTCACAATGGAAAAGTAGAGTTGAGGACACATGGCATAATAGTGGTTGTTTTGTTAAAGCCACAAAATCACAGTATAATTAACTTTGAAGTGCTGAAATGCATAGACCAAAGTGTTGATGAGATACAAAAATTAACATGACAAACAGTAATTGTTAATCTTCTGCACTTCTGTTGTCTAATCAACCGTTGTTAAACACAGTTTTCAGAAAAGCTTTTGAAGATATTTCCTGATAGTCTAATCATTAATTTTATGAATAATTTATTTTTCCACTTTTATTTTGGAAGGCCACATCTGTCCCAAATTTTTCCTACATGGGAGCACGGTTGTGTAACTATCTATCTCACCATCTAACCATTAGTCCACAAAGTGGGAACTTCCGACAGTTGTTACTTCAAAGGTCAGTATCAGCATGTCAACCTGTACTTTCTCAGGTTATGCATCTTCCTGTTTTCTATGCAACTCAATGTCACATGCAAAGAGGTACATACTTAAAATAGAAGTTTAGACTGAGGGTTATTAAAGCACAGGTACATACTGGATATTAAATACATATCTTTTTAAGTATGAAAATAGGACTCCATTTGGAGATCTATAGGCTCTTTTTTTGAATTGAGTGTATTACTTGCACTGATCCCAGATTACAGGGTAAATTTGAAAGGTAGTCAACTTTAAAAGTATACTAAATGCATGTATATGTACTGTCCTTGTCCTTTGACTCTTGCCAGGACTTGTTTCATTGTGGTTTTTAATTCAATTACTTTTCTGGCTGGAATTGCTGTGTAAGGTTTACTGATTGATTAGCTAACTGATTTAGTATCTATAAAGTAGGTATATAAAGTCAAGAAGGATAAATTTCTTCAGTTTTCAGTTACTACAGAGTTCTGGGGGCTTACAGTTTAATAATAATAGGACTTCATAGTTGACGAAAATGCAGCATTTTTAAACTGAATATATTTCCTTTTATGTCTTATTGCATGACATTTGAAGAAGTAGTACACTCTAATATTTGAGAATTCTTCAGAAATTAGCCTTTTTTTCTTTAAAGACTTCTGGCTTTCTAAGCTTCAGGCTTGCTTCTTATTTTTAAAGTTTCACATAGTCCACTTATGTTTAGGAGCAAAAACATGATAAACTTTACCAGGAATGCATTGTGATGATCTTTCATCAGGGTAGTACTTTATGGAGAAGCTGAAAATACAGGGTTTTTTCCGCTTGTCCCAGAGCAGATGAGTCTTTTTGCCTTCAAAATTATCTCTTTATCTTCTGGGGTCTTGTAACTATGTTCATTAATTGAACATGAAGGAAATCCATGTTAATGCTGGATTGTCTGGTTCCTGTTTTTTAAAGCCAACTCAATAGATAACATTCATTTTAGCACCCTGAAGCCATGATGTTAAAGTTGTTTATGTTTTTAGTGCTAATACGGATGAAATTGGAGGGAGGAGGGAATAAATAAACTAACAATACGACAGGAGGGAGCTCCTATTCTGTTTCTTGGCCCAAGTTTCTACCCTAACTTTTTAATTTCAGTTCCTTAAATTTATCAATTTCTCCAGTGTTTCTTACTCTATTACATAACTTCTAATGTATTCTCAATGGTTATCTCAAATATTTTTTAATTTTGTTTTTGAGCTGCTATGTAAACTTGTATATTTTCGGCACAGTTGTTGAATACTAGAGAATTACGTCACTGCCATGTTATCTTAACCCTCTGTATTTGTATTTTTATCAAAATTATAGAATCATTGACTCATAGAATGGTTTGGGTTGGAAGGGACCTTTAAAATCACCTAGTCCAACCCCCCTGCTCTGGGCAGGGACACCTCCCACTAAACCGGGTTGCCCAAAGCCCCATCCAGCCTGACCTTGAACACTTCCAGGGAGGGGGCATCCACAGCTTCCCTGGGCAACCTTTTCTAGTGTATCTAACCCTTTTTAAGTTTAGAGCCATTACTCCACATCCTATCACTACACTCCCTGATAAAGAGTCCCTCCCTGTCTTTCCTGTAGGCCCCCTTTAAGTACTGGAAAGTTGCAATATGGTCTCTCTGGAGCCTTCTCCTCTTCAGGGTGAACAACCCCAACTCTCTTAGCTTGGCCTTGCAGGAAAGATGTTCCAGCCCCCTGATCAGCTTTGTGGCCCTCCTCTGGACTTGCTCCAACAGCTCGATATCCTTCTTATGTCAGGGGCCCCAGAGCTGGACACAGTACTGCAGGTGGTGTCTCACAAGAGCAGAGTAGAGGGGACAGAATCACTTCCCTTGATCTGCTGGCCACACTTCTTTTGATGCAGGGTTGGCCACCTGGGCTGCAAGCACACATTGCTGGCTCATGTTGAGCTTCTCATCAACCAACAACCCCAAATCCTTCTCCTCAGAACTTCCCTCAATCCATTCTCAGCCCAGCCTGCATTTAAGCATGGAATTGCCCCAGCCCAGGTGCAGGACCTTGCACTTGGCCTTGTTGAACTTCATGCAGTTTGGGCCCGTCTCTCAAGCCTGTCAGGTTTCCCCTGGATGGCATCTCTTCCCTCTAGAGTGTCAACTGCACTGCTCAGCTTGGTGTCATGAATTATGCATCACTGTCACTTAAGATGGTGAGATAGAAAATTTATTGAGTAAGCGTAAAGACATCTAAGACAAGGTGGGCAGCACCTTGAAAGGGAAAAATTGTCTTTCAGAATGTATCTAATTCATTTCTGTGGACGTTTGGCTGCCTGTGTTAAACTTCATGGACCCATGCTGTAATATTTAAACTCTGTAACTCTCTTCTATTTTTAACATGTTATACTTTGCCCTGTTTCATTTTGCTGTCTCACGTATCTTAGTGCTTGAGAACATAATCATGTAATTGTACGTATTGATCTAAAAGGACACAGATCCATGGTGTCTTTGTGAAGTCCTCTCATTTTCTTCATAAATCATACTTCCCAGCATTCAATAGTTTTAATGCAGTTCATAAGTTCTTAGCATTCTGTTAAATAAGTAGCATGTTATATATGTTGAGGTGTCTACAGATGATACAATTTTGGTTTAATGTTTACAGGTGTCGAACAGAGTATGAAAACAGAGATGAAGCTACCAAAGGGGATGAGACTACTCGAAAACAATTTCATGCCTTTGTGCTGTTCTTAGCTGAACTCTACCTTAACCTAGAGGTAAGAAGAAAGTTGTGTGTCAGCTAGTTCTTAACCAGTTTTTTGTTGTGTTTAGGTAAACCCTGAAATGGGATATAACTTGTGTTTTTCTAAAGGGAGAGGGGAATGAAATAAAAGCACTTTAGAACAGTTTCATTATAATGTGTGTCCAAGAAACAGATAAACAAAAAAGGACAAGATCATTAGAAGTGTATAGAGATTTTTTTTTTAAAGTGTAAGAATTCATAAAAAGAACCAACCATAAGCCTCTTTTGGTATTTTCTTTTGTCTGGCAAACCCCTGGATGACTACACTTAACCAGCATAGGAAATGTTACCTAGCAGAAACAGATCCGGATTAATAACCCATGTAATTCAATATTCAGCCACTAATAGGAGCTATTATCAAACCCTTGAGGAACACGTGGAAATCCTCAAAATGAGCAGTTAAAAGTGCAGAAATTTAAAGATCATTTTTCTGAAGATTGAGTCCTTGGCTTACGCATGAAGCATAAAATCTTATATTTAGATTGGGTTTTTTGTATCTGCTATATGTACAAAAATGTATATGCACATAAGAATTATTTGGCTCTTACGCCTATGAGTTCAGTAAGTCACTAACTGCTATAGTGTACTTAAAAATATTTTTTGTCTGGATTATCTCAATCATTTGATTTAAGCAGACACTATAAAAATGTTCTGCTGGCATGAGGAAATAAAATAATTATGACTGTCCCATTTCTGTTAGTAAATGGGCCTTGAAATCTGCTTTTCATTTGCTGGAAGTAAAAAGGAAGATTTCCAAAGGGTTTGAGGGCAAGTAAGTTGTCCAGTTCTGTGGAGTATACCATTTATTGTTAAAACATTTTATACAATTTTAAAATATGTGTAGTGTCTTCTAAAAGTAAGCCACTACAGTTGTAGAGAGTACATAATATAGTGTGGGAAAGAGACGCGGTTCTGAGAATTTGTGATTTTTGTGGACCACTTGCCAAGTGTTAGTAGCTTTTTTGAGCAATTAATTAGCAAAGAAACAACATGATAGACACGTGCTGTTATGTGTATGTTGGAATTGCAAGGTTATTGGTCTGTGTTCTAAAATAGTTACAGTATCTGGCATGTTCTTCCAACTAAAGAGCTCAACTCTGATCACAAGCCAAATCTTACAGCATTCAAGTGAGAAAATGTGACTAAATTAATTTCTAAAACTTAAGTATTTAAGTCCCTTTTTTATATATATTTTGCAGATTAAAGGATCAAAGGGACAGGTAACACGAGCAGAAATTATTCAAGAAGGCCTTCGGGAATTACTAAACGCGCTGTTCTCTAATCCTGTGGACAGTAATTTGATATGTGCAGTGAAACTGCTGAAGGTGAGACAATAGTTTTCAATTTTAAAAAAGCAAGTGTTTAATCTTCCTATCTTTGCAAGCATTGGGGCAAACTACAAATGAGAAAGTGCTTGTAGGATTTTGTGCATTAGATCATTAGCGGAGCAAGCTGTACTTTCTTTTTACTTAGTACCATTATGAAATTGAACCAGCAAAAAAGTAACCTACTACTCTGAAAGTAAATGCAAGGCCATTTGTGCATGTACAAGAGCGACAGAACTAAAGTCAAGGTGCAAAAGAGTAAGCAGTCCCTTCAGGTTCTCCTTTTCAGGTCTTGCTTTGCTGCTTCTGGTGTGAGAAAAAAACAACTTGAACAAATAGTGGGGTTTTGAGTATGTTCTCTGTTCTGATGGACAGTCAGCAGTTGGAGTCTAACACTTTTAGTGGCAGAATAATACCAGTTATTTCATACTGCACTGTCTGCATCATTACTACTGTAGAAATACATACATATTTCATGATGAAAACAAACTTCTTTGCCCTGAAGTTTTACTTTTTCTTTAAAAAAAATTGTTAGCCTCTATGCAGGGAGAAACTCTCATCTTCATTAGCTCTGGTTATACTCATAGTTGGGAAAACACAGTTTATTGTAGGAATAAAGGTCAAAAGCTAAAGAGTATTTTTCTGGAGTTATGATCCCTTTTTTTGAGGTTGGTTGTTCTTTCTTTATTGTTTCTCGTTTCTCTTTCCTCCTACTCTACAATTTTTCAAATTCTTCTATCTTGAATTAAATTCTGGCAGCTTCTCTTCCCTATTTGCTGTATCAAAAGAGGTTTAACATCTTCCAATTTAAACCCTTCATTTGAAGTTTGGATGTTTAAGCAGGTTGCTTCGTAGCAAGTGTGAGGTTCTGTTCAATGAAGGCATTCACTCCTATGGTGAGTCCTTATGTTGGCAGCGCTTCCCTGAGGCAAGGCCCACTGAAGGACTTTTCAAAAAGGCAGAACACAAACCAGGAAGCTTTCCAGTGCTGCTGCTTTTTATAATCATTTTCCAAAGAAAAATGAGGTCTTACTATCTTCTGTGGATATTCTTGAAATATTTATTGGGCTTCACATCCTCCATTTTAAAAAGCCAGTGATCTAAATTTTTTTTTATGACACATTGCTAAATCTAAAAGGTGTTACAGAGCAGAGGCTTTTTTTTCTGGATGCAAACATTTTCTGATGTCTTAGAGTATCTTCAAATGTTTGAGTGTATTTATAGCTAAATGGGGCTACCTCATGAAGTCTTGGTTTCACTGCTGAAGCAATATATGTCTCCTGTTGGCTGTCTGCATTGATTGACACAGGTTTTTCACATGTTTGCTTTGCAATATATTTATTTTTAATTAAACCTTCTTGGTGCTATTATTTCATTAGCTAGGATCAAGCTAGGACTGCAATATAAACTGGGAATACCAAACAAGGGCTAAAATGCTTGGTTTTATCTTTGCATTTTATTCCTTTGTATCATCAGGTACCATTCCAAGCACTTTGGATCATGTAAGATTTATGCTGAGTAGACCAGGAATTGCTATCAACTTTGATCATAATTTTTCCTGATTCATCCCCTGCTGTGCAATCACTGGGCAATGAAGTACCTATTGTTAACATAAAAGGCTTTCGTCCACAGCAGCTCTGGACTTTCTGCTGCTGAAACTCGACAGCAGCTTAAGCTGTATTAAAATT